TGGTTATGAATACCCATGAAATTAATGGTGAAAAACCTCACAAAAGTAATGATTTTACTGTAATGTTTTCATAGTGTACTGTTGTTACCTTGTACTGAGCTATGTTGTTGATAATATAATTTTCATAGTCTACATTAAATGATATCTTATTTTCTCAAATGTTGTCCACATGCTATATTTTTCGAACATTAAAAACTGCCCTCTGCAAGCTTCCAAGTGAGAAAGTAGGCAAGAAATCATGGTAATTGCCTGTTTGACCAAACTTTTCCTTCATTTACACAAATTCTGCATAGGAATTGAATATTTTATTAAAAGTCACAAAAAAGGAAAATAAATAACAACAATATCCTGTTGTATCAAAAAACACTGCTACCAGTCACACTACCCTACCTTGTTAATCCTGTCACCACTAACCAGTTTGTCACACTACCCTACCTTGTTAATCCTGTCACCACTAACCAGTTTGTCACACTACCCTACCTTGTTAATCCTGTCACCACTAACCAGTTTGTCACACTACCCTACCTTGTTAATCCTGTCACCACTAACCAGTTTGTCACATTACCCTACCTTGTTAATCCTGTCACCACTAACCAGTTTGTCACACTACCCTACCTTGTTAATCCTGTCACCACTAACCAATTTGTCACACTACCCTACCTTGTTAATCCTGTCACCACTAACCAGTTTGTCACACTACCCTACCTTGTTAATCCTGTCACCACTAACCAGTTTGTCACACTACCCTACCTTGTTAATCCTGTCACCACTAACCAGTTTGTCACACTACCCTACCTTGTTAATCCTGTCACCACTAACCAGTTTGTCACACACCACTAACCAGTTTGTCACACTACCCTACCTTGTTAATCCTGTCACCACTAACCAGTTTGTCACACTACCCTACCTTGTTAATCCTGTCACCACTAACCAGTTTGTCACACTACCCTACCTTGTTAATCCTGTCACCACTAACCAGTTTGTCACACTACCCTACCTTGTTAATCCTGTCACCACTAACCAGTTTGTCACACTACCCTACCTTGTTAATCCTGTCACAGCACCCTACCTTGTTAATCCTGTCACCACTAACCAGTTTGTCACACTAATTAATCCTGTCACCACTAACCAGTTGTCACACTACCCTACCTTGTTAATCCTGTCACCACTAACCAGTTTGTCACACTACCCTACCTTGTTAATCCTGTCACCACTAACCAGTTTGTCACACTACCCTACCTTGTTAATCCCTACCTTGTTAATCACCACTAACCAGTTTGTCACACTACCCTACCTTGTTAATCCTGTCACCACTAACCAGTTTGTCACACTACCCTACCTTGTTAATCCTGTCACCACTAACCAGTTTGTCACACTACCCTACCTTGTTAATCCTGTCACCACTAACCAGTTTGTCACACTACCCTACCTTGTTAATCCTGTCACCACTAACCAGTTTGTCACACTACCCTACCTTGTTAATCCTGTCACCACTAACCAGTTTGTCACCTTGTTACTGTCACCACTAACCAGTTTGTCACACTACCCTACCTTGTTAATCCTGTCACCACTAACCAGTTTGTCACACTACCCTACCTTGTTAATCCTGTCACCACTAACCAGTTTGTCACACTACCCTACCTTGTTAATCCTGTCACCACTAACCAGTTGTCACACTACCCTACCTTGTTAATCCTGTCACCACTAACCAGTTTGTCACACTACCCTACCTTGTTAATCCTGTCACCACTAACCAGTTTGTCACACTACCCTACCTTGTTAATCCTGTCACCACTAACCAGTTTGTCACACTACCCTACCTTGTTAATCCTGTCACCACTAACCAGTTTGTCACACTACCCTACCTTGTTAATCCTGTCACCACTAACCAGTTTGTCACACTTCCCTACCTTGTTAATCCTGTCACCACTAACCAGTTTGTCACACTACCCTACCTTGTTAATCCTGTCACCACTAACCAGTTTGTCACACTACCCTACCTTGTTAATCCTGTCACCACTAACCAGTTTGTCACACTACCCTACCTTGTTAATCCTGTCACCACTAACCAGTTTGTCACACTACCCTACCTTGTTAATCCTGTCACCACTAACCAGTTTGTCACACTACCCTACCTTGTTAATCCTGTCACCACTAACCAGTTTGTCACACTACCCTACCTTGTTAATCCTGTCACCACTAACCAGTTTGTCACACTACCCTACCTTGTTAATCCTGTCACCACTAACCAGTTTGTCACACTACCCTACCTTGTTAATCCTGTCACCACTAACCAGTTTGTCACACTACCCTACCTTGTTAATCTAACTAATCAGTTTGTCACACTACCCTACCTTGTTAATCCTGTCACCACTAACCAGTTTGTCACACTACCCTACCTTGTTAATCCTGTCACCACTAACCAGTTTGTCACACTACCCTACCTTGTTAATCCTGTCACCACTAACCAGTTTGTCACACTACCCTACCTTGTTAATCCTGTCACCACTAACCAGTTTGTCACACTACCCTACCTTGTTAATCCTGTCACCACTAACCAGTTTGTCACACTACCCTAAATCCTGTCACCACTAACCAGTTTGTCACACTACCCTACCTTGTTAATCCTGTCACCACTAACCAGTTTGTCACACTACCCTACCTTGTTAATCCTGTCACCACTAATCACACTACCCTACCTTGTTAATCCTGTCACCACTAACCAGTTTGTCACACTACCCTACCTTGTTAATCCTGTCACCACTAACCAGTTTGTCACACTACCCTACCTTGTTAATCCTGTCACCACTAACCAGTTTGTCACACTACCCTACCTTGTTAATCCTGTCACCACTAACCAGTTTGTCACACTACCCTACCTTGTTAATCCTGTCACCACTAACCAGTTTGTCACACTACCCTACCTTGTTAATCCTGTCACCACTAACCAGTTTGTCACACTACCCTACCTTGTTAATCCTGTCACCACTTTGTCACACCCTACCTTGTTAATCCTGTCACCACTAACCAGTTTGTCACATTACCCTACCTTGTTAATCCTGTCACATTACACTACCCTACCTTGTTAATCCTGTCACCACTAACCAGTTTGTCACACTACCCTACCTTGTTAATCCTGTCACCACTAACCAGTTTGTCACACTACCCTACCTTGTTAATCCTGTCACCACTAACCAGTTTGTCACACTACCCTACCTTGTTAATCCTGTCACCACTAACCAGTTTACCCTACCTTGTTAATCCTGTCACCACTAACCAGTTTGTCACACTACCCTACCTTGTTAATCCTGTCACCACTAACCAGTTTGTCACACTACCCTACCTTGTTAATCCTGTCACCACTAACCAGTTTGTCACACTACCCTACCTTGTTAATCCTGTCACCACTAACCAGTTTGTCACATTCCTGTCACCACTAACCAGTTTGTCACACTACCCTACCTTGTTAATCCTGTCACCACTAACCAGTTTGTCACACTACCCTACCTTGTTAATCCTGTCACAACTAATCAGTTTGTCACACTACCCTACCTTGTTAATCCTGTCACCACTGACCAGTTTGTCACACTACCCTACCTTGTTAATCCTGTCACCACTAACCAATTTGTCACACTACCCTACCTTGTTAATCCTGTCACCACTAACCAGTTTGTCACACTTCCCTACCTTGTTAATCCTGTCACCACTAACCAGTTTGTCACACTACCCTACCTTGTTAATCCTGTCACCACTAACCAGTTTGTCACACTACCCTACCTTGTTAATCCTGTCACCACTAACCAGTTTGTCACACTACCCTACCTTGTTAATCCTGTCACCACTAACCAGTTTGTCACACTACCCTACCTTGTTAATCCTGTCACCACTAACCAGTTTGTCACACTACCCTACCTTGTTAATCCTGTCACCACTAACCAGTTTGTCACACTACCCTACCTTGTTAATCCTGTCACCTAACCAGTTTGTCACACTTACCCTACTAACTAACAGTTTGTCACACTACCCTACCTTGTTACCTTGTTTGTCACATCCCTACCTTGTTAATCCTGTCACCACTAACCAGTTTGTCACACTACCCTACCTTGTTAATCCTGTCACCACTAACCAGTTTGTCACATTACCCTACCTTGTTAATCCTGTCACCACTAACCAGTTTGTCACACTACCCTACCTTGTTAATCCTGTCACCACTAACCAGTTTGTCACACTACCCTACCTTGTTAATCCTGTCACCACTAACCAGTTTGTCACACTACCCTACCTTGTTAATCCTGTCACCACTAACCAGTTTGTCACATTACCCTACCTTGATAATCCTGTCACAACTAATCAGTTTGTCACACTACCCTACTTTGTTAATCCTGTCACCACTAACCAGTTTGTCACATTACCCTACCTTGTTAATCCTGTCACAACTAATCAGTTTGTCGCATTACCCTACCTTGTTAATCCTGTCACAACTAATCATTTTGTCACATTACCCTACCTTGTTAATCCTGTCACCACTAACCAGTTTGTCACACTACCCTACCTTGTTAATCCTGTCACCACTAACCAGTTTGTCACACTACCCTACCTTGTTAATCCTGTCACCACTAACCAGTTTTTCACACTACCCTACCTTGTTAATCCTGTCACCACTCACCAGTTTGTCACACTACCCTGCCTTGTTAATCCTATCACAGCTAATCAGTTTGTCACACTACCCTACCTTGTTAATCCTGTCACCACTAACCAGTTTGTCACACTGCCCTACCTTGTTAATCCTGTCACCACTAACCAGTTTGTCACACTGCCCTACCTTGTTAATACATTGTCTGTTTTTGTGGATTTTATTCCATCTGATACAGTATTGTCCTGTTAATGCTGTTGTTTAATAACCCTGATTACAAAATATTCTAATCAATAGCACATGTACATATGTACACCAGTCACTGACTAATCAGTAGCAGACATTATATTCAACATCTTGATTGCAGGAAAGAAGCGTGCTGACCACTGCCAGGAATTCTGGGATATCGTTGTCATCACAGCAGGGGACGAGGACCAGAAGAAGGCTTTTGAGGCTCAGATAGATAGCAAGCTGTCTCAGAAAGAACTCCCCCTGGACTGTCCAATACATGTGGTGGCTGACCCTCCTGGGCCTAAGTTAGGTCAGTCATTGGTCACATAGGTGCTGATTAGTTACTATTGGAATGAAATCTTTAGATTTCTTACTTCTTGAAAACTGCTGCAGTGATTTCCATTGATTTTTGCAGAAAGTGTCCGTGTCCTCTGAAAACTCTGAAACTGAAAATGTAAATTATATTGTGGCCTTAAGGGTGGCCCAAAATGAAATTTTTTTTAACATTTGAAAAATATTCTCCAGATCAAGATACAGTGTACTCTAGAACAAAAAAAAACCTGTATTGATTGAAATATGCTTTGTTTAGATTGTAAATTTCATTCCTGGTTGCCGTTTAAGGAGAATTAAATTTTACCAAAGAACAGAAAAGAAAAAAAATACAGTCTTATTTATTTCAATTTTGTCAATTTTTGTTCATAATCACTGATTCTTTTGAAGTTTCAAAGTTTGATTTCCAATAAAACCAACAAATAAATATTTGTTGAATCCAGTGGTTCTTATAGATGACAGGAATAATTGTGAAAAGCAGATCATGAAATTTATAATATAACTGAAAATAAGATATGTATATGGAAAACATATATATATGACATGAATACACATTTCAGGAAATGGAGGGTCCACCTTTACAAGTCTCCAGTTCCTAGAGAAGGAGTACAAAGAAGATTTATTTAAAAAGCGTGTGTTGCTGATCCATGCTGGCGGACAGAGTCGACGAATGCCTAGCACTAGCATCCTGGGCAAAATATTTGCTCCCATCCCAAGTGGGAATCCTCTGTATCAGATGTTAGATTTTAAACTGGCTGTGTATCTGCCATTGATACCCAGAATGCCTGCAGGTGTGTTTGTTTGCTGTGCTGATGACTTTCTAGTGTATAATTTAGGTAAGGAAGGTTCTGATGAGAATTGGGGCTTTAGCAAGTCTGGATTTACAGCTCTGGCACATCCCTCTTCTCTTGGGGTTGGAACAAAACATGGTGTTTATGTTGTTAAGTCTCTTGATGAAGTTGATACTTCTTTACATATACAACAGTCTGACTGTGTACAAGTTCTTCAGAAACCATCCGTACAGGCTATGGACATACATGGAGCTGTTATCAGTATGAAGGATAACAAGCTTCCAGATGGAATTGAAGTTAAAGGGTCTACAGTATATACTGACAGCGCATTTTTTTTTAGCATGGATATAGCCAAAAAATTTCTAAAGTTTCTAAAAACAAATGGCTCCATTACCTGTGAAATTGATGCATATGGAGATTTTCTTCAAGCTTTAGGATCAAAAGCAACAATCGACTACACCAGACAGACGCCAAATGTAACCACTCCCACTCCAAGTCTTATACCAACTCGCGAGAAAGTCTTCCACTTACTGAAAGATTCAAACATCCAGTTGCTCCTGATGAACTCATCAAAATTCATCCATATTGGTACCACAAAAGAATACATCCATCATTACTGTTTTCACTCTCAATTTCAGAAAGAAATGAGTCTTAGGAAAGATGTATTTAACAGATGGACTGATGAAGATGAGGAGAATCCTGTGGCAAAGAAGAGAATCAGAATGTCTGATGTTAGTACAGGATGTGTCATGCACTGCATCCTACCTATGAAATCATTCGTCCCAGAAAACTCAGTAATGGAGTACGGTCACTTTAATATTCCAGTCCATGTAGGACAAAACACCATTGTCAGCAACTGTAGTTTTCTGAAGGCAGAGACTGGAAAGAAATCCGATAGTGAACCCCTGAAAATACCACATAATGTCTTTCTCCACACAGTGTCTGTCCACAAAAATGACAAGACTGAATATGTAACTGTTCTCTTCAGAATCGATGATGATCTCAAGAAGACTGTACCTGGGAATAAAGTACAGGAGTTACCAATTCTAGGGGCAAAGGTGGAGGACATCTGTGGTGTCTGTGGTATTGACATTGAGAAAATCTTGCCAAGTTGTCATGAAAACAAAGGTCAAGGGGAGGAAAGTGGGCCTGTTTCTCTGTGGACATTACATTTACATCCAGTCACAGGAAGCATGACAGAATCTCTTGAATTGGCATTGCAGATTCACTCATCTGTCACTAAAAGAGATAAAACTGATCTTCTAAAAGACAGGAAACTAGTATCCATGGATGACCTTCTGCAGACTAAAGATGTCAAAGACATGCTGAAATATCGAAGTGATCTGTTTCAGGAAATCAAGTCATCAGTTAAATAATAGCAGTTTAGAAATAATTTTCATGATGAAATCTAGGGATCTATTATAAGCACATGAAAATCTGTTCATAAAACCATCTTAATTTCAACACCTACGCACTGTTTTTTGACTGTTTGAATTACAACAGTAATCTGATGGTGTTTTACTTAATTATAGTCCTATGTGTTCATAATGTGGTCATATCATGTGGTCATCATGTGGTCATATCATATGGTCATCATGTGACCTTAGTATGTGGTCATATCATGTGTTCATCATGCGGTCATCATGTGGTCATATCATGTTGTCATCACATGGTCATATGTAGTCATCACATGGTCATATCATGTGATCATATCATGTGGTCATATCATAAGGTCATCATGTGGTCATATGTTGTCATCACATGGTCATATGTGGTCATCATATGGTCATATCATGTGGTCATCATGTGGTCATATCGTGTGATCATATCGTGTGGTCATATCAAGTGGTCATATCATGTGGTCATCATGCGGTCATATCATGTGGTCATATCATGTGATCACATCATGTGGTCATCATGTGGTCATATCATGTGGTCATCATGTGGTCATATCATGTGATCATATCATGTGGTCATATCATGTGATTACATCATGTGGTCATCATGTGATCATATGTGGTCATATCATGTGGCCATCATGAGGTCATCATGTAGCAAATGCATGGATACTGGACTCATTTCAATGGGTTAGGGAAAATCATTTTTTATTTTCAATTTTTTTATTTTCAATTCATAATGTATCACACAATCCAATTAAAACTTCTCACTTCACAATATTAACCACAAACCGATTCACATTTTTACAGTGATTCACATATAAACACACCACACACACTTAGTATTGACATCTACACATTGATACTCATACAGATACATGCTTATGCACAGAAAACAAATTCAATAAATCAAATTATGAAAAATCATTTTTCATATTAACAGGATCCCAGGTGTTCAATTTTTAGGTCATCTGAGACAAAGTCTCATGGTTAACTATTGTGATCACTGATGTCTGGTGTCGTACATCTGTGAACATTTTCCAATTTTCTCAAAAACCGCTGAATCAATTTTAATAAAATTTTGAAAACCTTCCCTGGCCTAAGATTAACTAAAATAGTGAATTATACAATCCCCACACCACAGTGGCTGGAGCAGTGGAGCCAAAAGTAGTCAATTGACTCTGATTTCAAAATCTTCTCAAGTCCCAGATATGGTAGAATCAAATACTCTTCATGCATGGAAGCATCTTAGGGTGCTTTACCCAAGTTGTAAATTTCATGGTCCTAGGGTTCGCTAGGCCTCTTGTTTATGCATATTGATGCATTCAAATGTCATAAATATAATTTTTACAATTGACAATCATTTGTGCATGTGTATCTTTGATCAATTTATTTTTTCAAAATTTTTTCTGATCAAGTATTATAAACTCACCTGGCCAAGTGAGCTCATGTCATGTTGCAGCATCCATTGTCTATCAAATTTTTATTCTCAAAAACAAAAAGACTAAGAATTATATTTTGCTTGCAGCTGCCACAGATAAAGGCCAACAAAGTTTGTTAAAAGAAATAACCTTGACCCCTAATCAAGGTCACATGGTCAAAACTTTCCAACAACTTCTGATTAATCATATCATGAAAAATTGAATAATAATATTCAATTGGTAGGGTACCTTTACTTAAATTCAAGGTTACAAAGGTCAATTTTCAAATATCGCTCAGTCTTACAATCATATTTAATTGGTACTGAAGCTTAAAAAATAGTTGTTTGAAAATACTCTGACCCATATTCAAGGTCACAGATGTCAAAAGTCAATGATGTGATGTTTGTATTAGTAAAAATTTAAATACTAGATGAGAAATGCATGCCCTTTTGGCCTCTTGTTTGATATTTATTGACTGCGATATAGTGATCACAATGAACATGGTGATTTTGACATTATTATTAAAGTATTTTCCAGGACATGATGAATCCATGAAACCAAACTTGTATTTTAGCTTTAATTTATATTGAAAAATCCTATCACATCTGCTTATTGTGTGTTGAGCATATTTATTATTGATTTCATTGTATTATACAGTTACTGCTTATTCATAATAATGTTTTAATATTTGTAATATTGTTTATTCTCTTGTAAAATATCAATATTTGATTACTTTAAAATGGTTAATTTTTGTGGGAGGTTTATTTTCATTGGTTTCCAGGGTACTCTAAAACCATCAATTCATACCTGTATGTCCATGGACTGGTAAAATCATAAGTAAATTTATAGAGCTACATATTATCCACCAAATTCAGAAAACACAAAATTATGCCTAATGAAAATATAATATGGCTTTACAGTATTCACTTTTACACATAGAGTGACTAATTTTAGATTAAGATTTTATTTCTGTGAGATGTCATTTTCTCATAAATTAGAGATCTACTTTAGAAAACAAGTGCATATTGATTTTAAGATTGCACACTTACAACAACACAGAATTACTCTATAGTACAATGGGTATTAACTTTTCAATATTGTCCAAACTTATCAACAGAATTTATTCTTAAACTTACCATTGCTTGACCTCCAAATGACCTTTTTATGGAAGCAAAACAGACCTACATTTTAGGTGTTTGTAGCTCAAAAGTTTTTTTAGAATGAAAAAAAAAAAATGAGAAATTTAAGATTTCAAGGCATTTCTAATAAAAAAAAAGTAAAGAAGAAGAAAAACCTCAAAATGATGAGATTCAAATTTTAGCTATCTTCAGATTCATTTTTCTTGTCCGAATCCGAGATGAAGTTGAAAAAAAATGAAAATCAGATGCACAAAAAGAAATGAATTCTGGGTAATCCTGTCTCTTAATTATCAAGTTAATCCCTGTTTGTGTTTTTATGATCCTATTACAATTGTTGTTTTTTTTTTTGTATTGTGTTATTTTTTTTTTGTGTATATCTTTAAGTCCCAGACATTATCAGATAAAAATCTGGGTAAGTTATGTAGCTGTACTATATTCTGATAATTTACATCACCAATGATTCTGTTCCAGGTGCTATGATATATATACTATTTTAATGCTTTGTGGGTTGATAACATCATCTCCATAGGTTAAAATCATTCATAATTCATATATTGGTGGGTACATATGATTCTTTTTGGGTTTGTATGAGGACTTTTTAAGGTGTTTTTATTATCCTATTGTGACTTTTTGACCTTGCTAACTTTATTTGTGTGGAATAGTGGACGAGTTGTGGTGAGTATGTGAATGACTTCTAACTTTATTTGTGTGGAATAGTGGACGAGTTGTGGTGAGTATGTGAATGACTTCTAACTTTATTTGTGTGGAATAGTGGACGAGTTGTGGTGAGTATGTGAATGACTTCTAACTTTATTTGTGTGGAATAGTGGACGAGTTGTGGTGAGTATGTGAATGACTTCTAACTTTATTTGTGTGGAATAGTGGACGAGTTGTGGTGAGTATGTGAATGACTTCTAACTTTATTTGTGTGGAATAGTGGACGAGTTGTGGTGAGTATGTGAATGACTTCTAACTTTATTTGTGTGGAATAGTGGACGAGTTGTGGTGAGTATGTGAATGACTTCTAACTTTATTTGTGTGGAATAGTGGACGAGTTGTGGTGAGTATGTGAATGACTTCTAACTTTATTTGTGTGGAATAGTGGACGAGTTCTGGTGAGTATGTGAATGACTTCTAACTTTATTTGTGTGGAATAGTGGACGAGTTCTGGTGAGTATGTGAATGACTTCTAACTTTATTTGTGTGGAATAGTGGACGAGTTGTGGTGAGTATGTGAATGACTTCTAACTTTATTTGTGTGGAATAGTGGACGAGTTCTGGTGAGTATGTGAATGACTTCTAACTTTATTTGTGTGGAATAGTGGACGAGTTGTGGTGAGTATGTGAATGACTTCTAACTTTATTTGTGTGGAATAGTGGACGAGTTGTGGTAAGGATGTGAAAGACTTCTAACTTTATTTGTGTGGAATAGTGGACGAGTTGTGGTAAGGATGTGAAAGACTTCTAACTTTATTTGTGTGGAATAGTGGACGAGTTGTGGTAAGGATGTGAATGACTTCTAACTTTATTTGTGTGGAATAGTGGACGAGTTGTGGTAAGGATGTGAAAGACTTCTAACTTTATTTGTGTGGAATAGTGGACGAGTTGTGGTAAGGATGTGAAAGACTTGCTAACTTTGTGTGGAATAGTGGACGAGTTGTGGTGAGGATGTGAAAGACTTCTAACTTTATTTGTGTGGAATAGTGGACGAGTTATGGTGAGTATGTGAAAGACAAGCTGTGGTGAGTATGTGAATGACTTCTAACTTTATTTGTGTGGAATAGTGGACTAGTTGTGGTGAGGATGTGAAAGACTTCTAACTTTATTTGTGTGGAATAGTGGACTAGTTGTGGTGAGGATGTGAATGACAAGCTGTGGTGAGTATGTGAATGACTTCTAACTTTATTTGTGTGGAATAGTGGACGAGTTGTGGTGAGGATGTGAAAGACAAGCTGTGGTGAGTATGTGAATGACTTCTAACTTTATTTGTGTGGAATAGTGGACGAGTTGTGGTAAAGATGTGAAAGACTTCTAACTTTATTTGTGTGGAATAGTGGACGAGTTGTGGTGAGGATGTGAAAGACAAGCTGTGGTGAGGATGTGAATGACTTCTAACTTTATTTGTGTGAAATAGTGGACGAGTTGTGGTGAGGATGTGAATGACTTCTAACTTTATTTGTGTGGAATAGTGGACGAGTTGTGGTAAGGATGTGAATGACTTCTAACTTTATTTGTGTGAAATAGTGGACGAGTTGTGGTGAGGATGTGAATGACTTCTAACTTTATTTGTGTGGAATAGTGGACAAGTTGTGGTGAGGATGTGAATGACTTCTAACTTTATTTGTGTGGAATAGTGGACAAGTTGTGGTGAGGATGTAAAAGACTTCTAACTTTATTTGTGTGGAATAGTGGACGAGTTGTGGTGAGGATGTGAAAGACAAGCTGTGGTGAGTATGTGAATGACTTCTAACTTTATTTGTGTGGAATAGTGGACGAGATGTGGTGAGTATGTGAAAGACTTCTAACTTTATTTGTGTGGAATAGTGGACGAGTTGTGGTGAGGATGTGAAAGACAAGCTGTGGTGAGG